CCCATCTGTTATTAATTATTTTACATTTTTTCTATAGGTTTTTTGTGAGCATATCAGCGAACTCACAAACTATGCTTATGAACAATCCGTTTACATTCTTTTAAGTTTGTTAAATGAGTCGACTCGACTTTCACCAAAATCAAACAATCGAACTTACTGTTTTACAACGAGCTTCGTGTTCGAGCTCGACTCTAGCACCTCTACTTGCCACCCATTTGGCATTCATCGCCAAGATCACTCAACACAAAGCAAATTAAATTTACTCAAATATTTTCCTTTTATAAAGTAGATTAATAGAATTGTATTTCACACAAAAGTCGAAGCAAATTAAATTTACTCAATTATTTTTCCCTTTATATAGTAGATTAACATAATGGTATTTCACATAAATCACACGGTAAATATTACTATTTCACATATTGTCAAGTTAAATAATCATCATGTGAGAAATTGCCTTACACGGCACAAAATAATCAAATTACGCGTTACCGTGTTTATTTTAAAAGCACAATTGCGTGTCATTATAAGAACGTCAAATTAAGCTGGTTTAATAAATTCAGCCAACTGGGAGAAGTGTGTGTATTCTATTCTATTCCCTAACTTTCATTTTCATTGCAATTTTCATTTGTTAGTAAGAGAGAGAGAAAAGAATATCACATTGTTATTGACAGCTGTATCCACTTCACTCTGTTTGCTGCCCATTTTTAATGTTTTCAGACCACAATTTTCTCTCCCCACTCCAAATCCCATGACTACCACCGCCGTCTCACGCCCAATGCGGCGGCGGCACGCCGCTGCACCCGCATTTTTCTTCCTTGCTCTCCTTCTTTCTGTCATCGCCTCTCAGATCCCTAGCGCCGCCGCGCGGGTTCGGGTGCCGAAGAACTACGTCTTCCAGAACCTAAATCTCCGGCGGGCCTACATTGCCCTGCAGGCCTTGAAGAAGAACATCCACTCAGATCCGCTTAACACCACAAGGAACTGGAGGGGGCCCAACGTGTGCTCGTACAGGGGGGTCTTCTGCGCTCCCTCGCCGGCGAATGAATCTCTCACGGTGGTCGCCGGCATAGACCTCAACCACGCGGACATCGCCGGCTCCCTGCCGCCAGAGCTCGGCCTGCTCACGGATCTGGCCTTGTTCCACCTCAATTCCAACAGATTCTGCGGCGTTGTCCCGAGAACCTTGGGTAAGCTCCGCCTTCTCTTCGAGCTCGATCTGAGTAACAACCGATTTGTCGGCGGTTTTCCGTCGGTGGTGCTGAACATGCCGTCCCTGAAGTTCCTGGACCTCCGGTTCAACGAGTTCGAGGGGCCCGTGCCGCCGGAGGTGTTCAATAAGGATCTGGATGCGCTTTTCCTCAATCATAACCGATTCCGGTTCAGCCTGCCGACCAATCTCGGCAACTCGCCGGTTTCGGTTTTGGTCCTGGCGAACAATAACTTCGGCGGATGTATTCCGGCTAGCATTGGAAAGATGGGTGGGACCCTGAACGAGCTGATTCTGATGAACGACAATCTCACTGACTGCTTGACGCCGCAGATCGGGAACCTGACGGAGTTGACGGTGTTTGACGTGAGCTTTAACAGACTCCGGGGGCCGCTGCCGGGGGAAATCCGGCGGATGAGAAAGCTGGAGCAGCTGAACGTGGCGCACAACCAGCTGACAGGGGTGGTACCGGGCGACATTTGCCAGCTGCCGCGGCTGGAGAACTTCACCTACTCGTACAATTACTTCACGGGCGTGGATCCATCGTGCCTGGCGCGGGGGTTTGACGGACAGGAGAATTGCATCGCGAACCAGACACATCAGAGGTCGCGTGAGGAGTGTTCTTCGGAAGCAGGTAGGCCATTTGACTGCAGCAGATCTCAGTGTGGTGGTGGAGGGTCTTTCACGCCTAGTCCAATCACGAGGCCGCCGGTGATAAGACCTCCGATGCCGCCTGTCCGTCCGCCGCCACCACCTAATTCTGGTTCCTCACCCACATTCAGGCAACGACCTCCGCCTCCGCCTTTGCCGTCCAATCCACCTCCATTGCTGTCGCCACCACCACCACCGCCATCATCATCTCCACCACCACCACCACCATCACCACCACCGCCATCATCATCTCCACCACCACCACCGCCATCACCACCACCGCCTTCCCCATCACCGCCACCGCCATCACCGCCACCGCCATCTCCTCCACCGCCATCTCCTCCACCGCCTTCCCCATCACCGCCACCACCATCTCCTCCACCGCCTTCCCCATCACCGCCACCACCATCTCCT